CAAAACTTCTGGTCCATCAGGCTCCCGGCCCAAAGCACCTCTCCCCACACTACAGGCTGTTCTGGGAGTGTTAACAGCGGGCAAAATTTCAGACTTTTTACATGGGACTGCTCTTGCCATAGAAAGCAGTGGCCATTTTCCTGGGCTGGGAGTCCCCTGCTGTGAGCAGCTCTGACAAGGGAATAGCCACTGGGCAGGGAAAGGAAGCCGCTTTTTTTTTTTTTTTCCTTTTTTTTTGGGGGGGTGGGGGCGAGTGAGCTGGTGCCACAAGGCATGCATGCCAAAGCAAACCAACCCACCGGCTCCCAGCTGCGGCGGCACGTCCCTGCTTGCAGGGCAGCAGAGAGACCTGTTAGACCTTCAAATCTGTCCTTCTGTAGGATTTTACCTGTATTTTAACTACCCCATCCGAAGCCACAAGCTGGGGGGGTTTTTTTGTGCAGTTCTCCATCAAACAGAGAGGTTCTGCTAAATACGCTCTTCTGGAGCAGCTATAAATGATTGCACCCTGCTAGCGTGCCCTGGGACACCCACGAAGAGCAGACCTTCCCAGCCCTCTCCTTACGCCTCAGTTTTGCACAGACTCAAACTACCTTTCTGGTTTTGGCACCTGTGCTAAGATGAAATTGGCCGTTGGCCACAGGCATGGTAAAAAGTGTCTTACCTTTCAGGCTGTGTGGCATAAACCAGACATGAACTCTCCCTTTGTGAAGCGCTTTTCCGAGCAGGTCTTCAGCTCCGCTGCAATACTGTCCTGGCAGCTTGATGCTTTCTTGGAGACATGAATTGCTTCCACATTACAACCTCCTGCACGCCGAGGTTTAGCATCTGTCTGGAAAACCCGTTTTTGTTCCCAGCTGGGGCTGTTGCTAGCTGGCTGCTGCTCTCACAGCACAGCATGGCTTTGGCAAAAGCCCTTCAACACCTGCCCAGTGCCAAGCCCCTGCACTACCCCAGCTCACCGCTTGCACATCTGGGTTGGATGCTCCCTGCCCGCAGATCCCCATGCTGGCAGCCAGCCTTTTCTCCTGGGTACGCCTCCAGCACCCCTGAACCCACGTGCAGCCCACCCATCCTTATGAAAAGGCTTTTTTTTTTTTTTTTTCCCAAAAACCAGGAGGACCTGTTGCACCAAACCCTTGCCTTGGCTGCAATTTTCCCGGTCCAGCCCCCGGGCTAAGGACCACCACTGTAACAGAGGCAGTTCTTCCAGCTACTCTTTCCACACGTGGAGCTGTTTGCCTTTCATGTTGTGTCCTTCCCAGATGTACAGCAGCAGAGGAATGTTGTAGGGGATGCCAAGTTGGGATTTGTCAAGCTAGTTGGAACAGACACAGGCAGACTGTTTCCCTGCCTCCCCCTTTAGCTCAGAGCATTGTGCCTTTCTCCACGCCTGCTTTCCTTGGACCACACCGCATATCTGCCCCGAATGAGGGGGTGCAAGCAGAAGAGGTGCTTTCCACTGGTATCTCCCACACCCCCATTAAATCAAGTGGTGTGTTGCCAGCACTAGACAGGTTCTCCTCAAGGCAGGGTTTCTGCAGGCTGGTCCTGTTGAGCTGTGTCCAAACAGAGCCACAGCACAGGCCGGTGAAGAGGCATCTTCAACATCATCCAAACCACAGCAACTTCCCCAGCCCAGGCTGCACACCCACAAAGGAGCTCACAGAGACAAATGTGGGAAACAGAGGGGTAAGGGGATAAAGAGGGCTAGTTGTGTGTAAATAGTTGGCTAGTCAGTACGCTTGTCTGGCCACCTGATCAGCACAATCTGTTCTGTGTCCTTATTAAATTCCTCCCTAACTTTCCTGGGCGAGGGCTCTCTATTCCGTGTCCATGTGTGCGCATGGGGACGCGAGGGCAGCAGCTGGAGCCAGACCACTGGTCAGAGGAGCTGGGCAGCAACTGAAGTGAGGACGAGTGTGCTATCGCTAGTGAAGATCAACCTGGACTAGCTGGAGAAGGGCTGAAAGGCCATGGGGGCCTCTCAGAGCCAGCTCAGGGTGCCAGAGCACCTGGATGGCTCTAGGAGTGAGAGCACAAGCCTATGGGACCAGGGGAGTCCTGGCCAGCTGTGTGTCTGAGCAAGACCATCTGCACCAGTAACTGAAGTGGGGCTGCAGCCTCAGGGGCTCACATCTCCAGCTGCCAGCAACTGGGAAAATGGCATCCAGGGACCAGCAGTTACAGTGTCTGAGCCCAGCAGCTGGAGGGATCCACCACGTACATGCATGTACAGACAGCACCAATGGTCTGTGCACATTCACTTTAGTGCTGTGTGTCTGTCAGTGATCTGTGCAGCCAGATCTGCATGCACGCAGGGTGTACGTGTGCTCTGTGCCTACTGGGAGCGCACCTTCAGCATCCCTTGTGGTTGGGCGTGGCAGGATGGAGCTGTAGCAGCCTCACCTCCCTTCACCTGTCAGATGTGGCACACTAAATTCTAACAGTGGCCTTCCTGATGGAGTAGTTATGCCCACACAAGAGTGCGTTGTCAGCAATATGAAAAGGATACAAAGAAGTGTCTTGGAAAACTTTTATTTTACACCCTCAGTTTCAGAAACCTTTACACAAGCTACAGAAACCAAATCAAAGCAGCAAGTTGCAAAAAGTTTCCTCTTCAGGCACATGTGCAGAACTACTTCTCATTAATTCACCTTTCCTGTGTCCACAAGCAGGGCATTGCACTCCCTCATCTGCCCCAGATGCTGAGGGACTGAAAGGACCTGATTTTTGGTCGATGCTGTTGAGTACCAACCACTAGGATGGTCATACCCACACTGGAGCATTCCCTGCTGCTCCTCGCTCCCTCCACCTCCTCCAGCTCTGGAAACACCATAAAGCCTCCAAGGTGACGGTTTCTGACGTGCAGGAGCATGTCTACAAGAGAAGACCTATTCTATGAGCAGCAAAGCCAGCCCAGGGCAGGCAGGAGAGCTTCCATCCTGTGTTTCAAGAACGAACACAAAGGGATTTGCTCATAGATACTGGTAGGTCCCAGGGAGAAGCTGTTTCACCTCTCACAGCCAGGTACCAGCCACTCAGCTCCTTCAAAATGCCTGCAGTTCAGTAGATGGATCAGGGCTTGTGGAGTACTGAATCAGCCTTCAGGCCGGCTTTCGATAATGTGCCTGTCTGCTTTTAAAAAGGAGTCCAAGATCTCCCAAATATCAATAAGCAACAAGGTTCTCCAGAGGCTCTTCTGTCTTCTGCCTTGCTCAGATGATGAGAAGCACTATCTCCTCCCTGTGGTTTTCAGGTTTTCTACCACGGAAGGAGGCTTTTTGGTCCTATAGGCAGCAGTCCCTGCGATCCGGGCCCCTCTGATGGTACTGATGTACGGCAAAAGGGGAGGCTCCCGCACCACCAATGCTGTACCCTTGGGAGTATAGGCTCGGAGCAGCAATTTCTCTTCTGCGTGAGCTGTCACTGCCACCCAGCCTACACAGACAAAAAAAAAAAATACAGTCAGTCAGCAAGACGAGCCACTAGTATCAGAACAAGGGTTCTGACGCAAACTCAGTGCCTCTTGTGCTGGCCAAGAACCTGAGCTACCCAGCTACTTCTTTGAGAAACCAAGCTCAAAGGTCATATCCAGCCCTTTCACAATAGAAGGCAGGACCTAAAGACACATCTTGCTCTCCCCAGACACAGCTGGTGAACTTCAGAGGGATGGTGTGAACTACGAAAACCACAGTAATAAAGCTTTACAGTCCATGGCCCTTCTCCTCTCACCTGGACAGCGGACAGTGTCACAGCCATTCCTGATGCTGTGGAACTTGTATGGCACCCAGAGCATAAAGTATTCCAATGTGGTCATCCTGTACAAGCATGTCTGTCAATCTCCATTCTTGGAGGCTGTCAAGCCTCAGACAGACAAAGTCATGCCTGCCCTGATGTTGTGATGGTGACAGTCCTGCTCTGAGCAGGAAAAATGGGTTCATCCCATCAGAGGCCTCTTCCCAACAATGCTTCTAGAATGCGGACCCTGCATAGCAAACTAATGAAGAAATATTAAATTACCTGCAGAGGAAAGCTTGATATCTGCAACTGCCTCAGTGGTACCAACTCCTTTCAGTGTAATGTCCTCAGGGACAAGTGGGGGGAACTCTTTCATTCGCTCTTCCCCACCCATGGGAACCTAACATCAAAACATGGAGAAAAGATATAACAGTCAAGAGGTGCTTCACCACTCCCACCTTAAACTGGCAAGCAAGCCGCAAGTGGGAACAAAGATATTAGACTGTTGTTAGCCAAGTGAGAGCTGGCTTGAATACCCTACAGGAGTAATTTCAGGTTTGCCAAGAGCAGAATCAGGATCACATCCAGAGCAAACCAGTGGGAGCTCAGAGGTGGGCAAAGATGGAGTGCCTGCTACAGGACCCAGCTGGTGGCTCAAGCCAGCTTGCCTTGATGTGAGTGACAGCACTTTGTTCTCAATGTGTGCGACAGCATTTGTTCTTGATGTGTGCAGGACTGGAGCTGCCAGGACAAAGCCAGCTCCCCCTGTTCCCCATCAAGTGCCACATAGTATGTGGCAATACCAAGGAAAAAGTCAGACTACCAAAACATGCAGGGATGGGCAGAGCATCCAGCGGGGTAAGAATAAGAAATGTACATTTTTCAACTGCAATCTGTTCTGCAACCCCAGTCTGAAGTTTGCCATGGAAATTATCCCCATTGCTGCCTGCACTTTAAGGCTGTTCAAGAAAAGTCAAATATCAGAGAGCAGAGCACTGCAAATTCCACACTGCAGATCTCCACTCTCCCACTGCAGAAGTCCCAAACTCCTGACATGTGCTGGTCTTCCCCGTCAATTGTGCCCCAGCCAGGGCACTTCACCATGCAGGATGGTGTGCCTATCTGTCCATGACAGCACCTCCTCTTACCTTTAGTAACTCTTGGCTAGCATGCTTCTCGTAGACGGCATCTACCTTACTCAGGGTAGAAATGTGGACTGGCAACAGGTTAGAAGCCATGACAGAAAACCAGGCAGGCTTTTCTCCCTGAAATAAATAACAAGAGGAGGATGACAACAGAAAAGCAGCCCTGAATTGCTCTCTATTGCTCCGTTTCTATCCTGCATGTTGAAAATCTGTTTGACTGATGTCCCCTCCTTGTCCAAGGAGGGGTCCTTGCCTCTGTCACTGCAGAGCAGGCAGGGTTTACAGAAACAAGGCAGCTGAGCTTCCAGGAGAGAAGCACCCATGGCTTCACCATATAGCACCCCCAATACTATATTCCCCTGCTGTCACATCTCCTCAGCTCAGGCAAATCATCCAAGAGATATCTCTGCTCAAGTTTAATCCCCAAGAACAAATTCAGTGTGGTTATTTAGCATGAAAGGTGATGGACACCTGTCTCGTGTCTCTTGGCAGACACAAAACACAGAAATAAGGAAAAACACCTATCTTCCCAGTTAATTCTGGCACTCTCTTTCTTCCCTCCCTCCCTGCCCTGTGCCTTTGTATGTTATGGGAAGCACATCAAGCTGAAGGCGTTTGTCAGCATTCAAAAGCACTTACCATTATACAATATAAAATACTGCACACTAGTAACAGGTATCAAACCTTTCAACTGCAACTCCCCATCCCAGGCCATTGTGACTTTATGCAGTGCTTTACTAACAGATTAATCATCTTGAAAGCAGCAGAGTCTGGGAAAGCTACCCAGAAAGCCTTTTATTGCCTGGTACTATAACAAGAGATGAAGCAGCTGCTCACAAACCCCTTTCTTCCCTTACCTCTAAGTAGTCTACACGTCCCAAGGCTGCTAAAAACAAGACCATTCCTGGCTTGAGAATGAAGGTCCGTGGGACGATGGCTTGTGTTGGCAAAACCAGCTTTACTTCTTTCTCTGTCAGGAGATTTAAAACCTGCAAAATAAATTGCCATTGCCATTCCAGATGTTTCAATGCAGACAACGAAATTAATAGTTACTATATTGCTCGAGGAAAAAGATCAAGTAGAGCAGCATGAAGAACGTCTAACAGAACAGTCCAATTCCGGTCCACACAGTAAGTGAGAAGCAGGAGGAGGTAGGGATGTCACCAATCTCCATGGCACGGCAGGGCCCACAGCAAAGCAAAACACTTGCCAGCAGCCTGTGTAACCAATAACCAATCTCCAGTTACCAAATCAGGTCTCTAAGCTGACAGCTGTCTTTATCCTGGGCACTAACCAGCTATCAGAGAGCAAAGTACCACAGTAAAGTGGGTTACAATCTGGCAAATACATCTACTAGAAAAACAGTAGCCTTCTAGTGTTCACAAAAGCAGCATCAGCACTTAGGCTGTGCAGTCTCACTACAGTTCTTCCACTTCCTCCTCTTCAGAACTTTCCTATCTCCTTGCACTTTGTAATATTCCCAAAAAAAGATGACCTCCAAAACACGACCCTTTTGGACACGTGCACTACGCCAGCATTGGCTTCAGAGCCCTTGCTCTACTGAAACACTGAGGTAGGCTGAGCTACTGGAGCAGTTAACAGGAACACTGCAGATGCTGTTAGCTTCAGGAGAAAGCCTTCCCAAAGATTTGGTGCAGTTACACAATACTGGTTATACTCCTAAGCTCCACCTTTTCCAGTAGGCTGGCAGAGCTAAAAAAGCGCAAACTTCTCTGGGTGACTCCTGGTATAAACATGCTTATAGCACTATTGCTTACTTCCCTTCATTCAGATGTTAAGAAAGTTTGCTGACTCAGTCATGCAGTTCCTTTGCAAAGATCACAGCATGCGGTATTCAGAAATGCAACAGCATTAACACGACGAACCCTTCCCAAGTAAATACAAACCGTATTTTAACACAATTGCCCAAACCTAAAGAATTCTAACCCAGGACTGCAGCAGAAATACTCTCCCACATGCACAGCTAAAGCAGAACTGTCCTCCCAATGCTTGTCATCCCCAAACATGGCAACCCAGAGTACCTACACAGTTTTCTTTTACAATCCCTGGAGTGTCAAAACACCAGCGAGCATCCTTCACTTCGTTGTACGTGAACTCTTCCCTTTCCTCACGCTTCTTAGGAGAATGGCTGGGATCTTCATCGATGCTGTATGAGAGCTCGTCAGGGTCAAATTCAACCACAGTGCTAGGCTTCGGCCGTTGAAATGTCCTTCCAACTCTTCCTGGATTAAAATTAAAGGTTTCCTGGTAATTAATTTATTAACTTGTCTTTCCTTCAATTGGACATCTGTCCCTTCCCTTGCTTAAAAAGGATGCACGTTGGTAATATAAAGGTGATAAAGATGGTACATGGCTAGCAATTTGCATGTTCAGATGCCAAGATGCTAAGAAAATGCTAATTCAACAATTCTTGCTTAGGACTCCTCAGGTCCAAAAACCTTATCAGGGGCCAGATCACAGACACCCCATTATTTCCATTTTACAGTAAAGCAGGCTGCCTTCTTTTTTCAGTGCCTTAGACTGTCAAACATGGAATTATTTGCAAATCAGAGCTATCTTCTGGCAACCCTCTCATTTAGAGAGCTAGAGGTCTTGCACCCTTTACCCGGGGAACAAAAACTGGTCAAAATAACTTGAATGAGAGTTTGGAGATTTTTTTATTGCTACTGCAGACAGCATGTTTTTCCCGTAATTAAATGGAAATGAGTTATTTCAAAGTGGGAAGAAATTACTTGCCAAAGCCAGCTAGATTTTACAGCAAATTAAGGAGTTAGCAGTCATTTGTGTATTGCAGGATTTTCACTGGGGCAGAGGGGCAATACCTTTACTCAGGCAATACTCACCCACTAAGTAACCATGCTTTTTAAGGTGATTAAGGTACTTTTTTTCTTCACTGCTTAGCTCATCTTCTGTTTTTGTTGCCTCCTCTTTCAGCCTCTCCTCCCTTCGGAATATCCTGTCACATGTAGGATTAATAATTGGAAATTTCAACAGGTTCAGTGTCGTTCCTGGAAAAAACAGAAGGAACATTTGGGCCTCTGGCTACCTGGCACGTTTAAGCTCCAAGGAACAAGATAAAGAAAACTGCTTCTCCAACTTTTGGGTGAAACCCAGTAACACAAAGCTGGAGGTGGAACTACAGCTGCTCCCATCAAGTATCAGCCTCCCCAGGCAGGGTGGCAGAAATGAGGCATCCATCCACTTGAGATCTGCTCTCAAAGCCAAGCGGGCCCCTAACCTGGCCAGGAGGAGACGGTGGCCCTGTTGACGACATCGGGGGCACGGGATTTGCAGTAGTCGGAGCGCAGCAGGGTGTTGAACAGCGTGGACTTGCCGGAGTTGGTGGCGCCCAGCAGGTAGACATCCCCAGCGCACCTCCAGGAGCGTTGCAGACGGCTGACCAGCCCCTCCAGCCCGAAGCC